AACATCTTCCTTATAAAAAAAGACCCTTTTTTCTCACACCTACAATCGCCAATGTCGACTAATGGGACGGCCCGGAAAACGTTCAACGACGAGGAACCTTCGCCGGAGCTCAGACATGGTAACACCATTAGATGCCGTTCGATCAAATGACTAAGAGAAACTAACTCGAACGAATCATACAAAAGACTCCCACAATCCCATATCGCTGATTTTGCCTCTCCCCCTTCTTTTTCAGTTGCTCTGTTTTCTGTTGTTTTTCCCATCTGGTTTTGAGCAATTCAGAAACTTCTGTCGAATCAAGATAAGGAGACTGATGCATTGAGGATGGTGTGCTTCAGGTAAGGGGGCAAAAGGGAGGGGACGCCATGTGCTTGATGCATTGCCTTTGCCCCTGATGTTGATTACGGGTAGGAGACAATAAATGAGTCCTAATTTTTTTTTTTTTTTTGGGTAAAGAATGAGTCCTAATTTAAAACTGGAAAACTGTTGAAAATTGAACATTAGTTCATCAACATTGAACACACCAATTATTGAAAATTTTGCAATTTAAGAATGTGATTAAGCATTTAGAATATATCATAATCTGCAATGTCTCCATCCCTATCCTCTTTAACAATAATGGAAAATTGAAAATCTCTTTTGTTGGTTTTGCATCAATGCCTTACCTATTATACCCAATTTCAAAAGTTTTCTACCTTTTATTCTCCATTGGTTCCACTGGGGAACTAAGCTTTCAAATCACTTTACTCTCTGCCTCAATTAGAATCCACTTTTGTTTTAAAAGTAAGAAATATAGAGATTTGGAGCGGAACTTGGACATGGTTGATAGGGATAAAGACAAAAGATCTTAGCAATAATTTCCCAATTTCTACCTGTAAAAGTAGTTACCCACCAATCTCTTTCTCCTTTTCTCTTGTATTTAATCATAAAAAAATAAAGTGCAATATGTGTAGTTTAGTTAATTTTAATAAAAAGAATAAATTAATTAAGATCAAATACACCTTTTTAAATAGTAAAATACCCAAATTCACTTTTAAAATATAGTACTAGGAACGAATTCACTCTAAATAAAAAGCAATGACAAATTCACTTATAAAATTTTTTATTTGAATAAATTACTTCAAATTTAACATGTGATATCATCTAATATCAACAATCCGTTAATTCATTAATATATTGCTGATGTTAAATGACATCAAATTAACAAATTACTAATATCAAATAACGTCACACATTAAATTAAAGTGATTTATCAAAATTAAAAATGTTATGAATAAATTTATCTTTATTTTTTATTCAGAAATAGATCTACCTCTATTATTATATTTTAAAGTAAATTTAAGTATTCTATCTACCTTAATCAATAATTTAAATAAGTTTTTACCAAAAAAAATAATTTAAATAAGTACAATTCAGATAAGAACAAATTACAGTACCATATTTTCTCTCCACATATATGTTTTAGTTTTGCACTCTAATCAAAGTAAGAATAAAGCAAACACTTTTTCGTCACCGCCACCCTTGGAATTAATTGATGAAAAAGACTACCTTGGCATTTATCAGTAATAATTGTAAGAAAAGGTTTATCTAAATTTGACAAAATCAACCCCCCGATGGAATCTACAACAGTTAGGAGCAGTTTTAGTTTCATTGAAAACATATCATATTGTTGTACGAATGATGTGCCTGGTTGCAAAAAAATCTGTACAATAATAATATTATTATAAGAGTCTAATATTTCACGTGTCATGTCTAGACTATAAATACTTTATTTTCATGATTCGTGTTGTTTGCCATTGATTTTATAGGAGCTCGAATGACTACAAAATTGATGTTTTTATAATCTATAGTTATAGAAAAAGTGTAAATAAGAGTATAAATTATCTATTTTTATTTTATTTTATTTTATTTTTTTGAACAGATTTTACAAAGAATTGGGTTTCAACCCCAACCCTGGGAGAGAGGAGTACACCGTGGGTGGCTATTGCCACTTAACTCGAAGGGCTCGGTACATATATTTTTATTTAAAAATATTAAATTTATCAATTTTTAAATATGAATGTTAATTTTTATTTAAAAATATTAACTTTTAATATTTCAGTTAAAAAATTTATTTATTATATTAATATAATTATTTAATTAATTATTAAATAAAAAATAAAAAAATTAATATTTTTAAATAAAAAAAATTAATATTTGATATTTTTAAATTGAATAAGTTAAAATTTAATATTTTTATTTAAAAATCGATAAAGTTAATATATTTAAATAAAAAAATATAAAATTGACATCTTTATTTACACATTTTTTCACAAAGATGATAAAAAACTTTTTCATTGTTATTATGATAAATTTTTTAAAAATTATTTTTTTAAATATATTAAATTAATATGATGATAAATTTTTAAAATCATAAGAGAAAAATTAATCTCAAGTGGATATGTGAAAACAGACTCAAGTATATCTAATTGTAAATACCAAAAATATATATATTATTATGATCATCATTACTAATAAGACGGACGGCGAGAATTAAGGTTAGATGCTGTTTGTTTGTCTGCTTCTCTGAAGTCCATCCTACCCTTACGTTGCTCATACCAGTGTTCTGTGCTAACTTAAAATCAACATGTAAAATCATTATATTCTAACTTTCAACTTTTTTTTACTGTTTTCTGGTCCTGCATTTATAAAGCACTTACACGTACGGTTGGACCTGAACAATTTTTTAGAAGATTCTGGTGACCTAATAACAAAAATCTCCACCATAACTTGGGGAATTATATGTTTGGGATAGAACACCAAATTAGATAACTGATTCAAACCCACCACAAAAATCACACATAGGCCGGGAACTTAACCTCTCAGCAAGGTCATGTGGGGAATTGAAACTCATACTTCTGTTGATAAGACAAACGCTCTTCTGCTGTAGTGTTGATTAGTTCAAACCAATCTCTTAAAAAATACAAAAGATGTTAGTTGGTAATGAAAAGACAACAAGTTTAGCTTTACTTGAGTTGGGAGTTTGGTGGCAGGGCAAAACAGGCAAACAGGACCCAAGAGCTTTTAAAGTTTTAACTTTTAACCCACAATGTCAAACATGGGCCCTGTCCGCCCGCCTTGTAGATGTAGCCATCTCCGCAACTTTTCTCAACCTTTTGGTTTTATATTTTTACGTGGGTCAGGACTGAAAATGACATCTAAATCTTACAAGACAAATGATTTAGAGTATATTTAGTGAAATTTGTAAGTGTTTTAATTTTTTAATATTATTTATATTTTATAAGTTTAAATATTTTTAAAAATTTTATATTTTTTAATTTTTTTAACTTTAAAAAAACTTTAAAGGCTTAAACAATAAATTTAAAAAAATTTTAAGTTTTTATTTTTTATAAATTTTATTTTTACTCACTTTTTATTATTTCGAAAACAAATTTAAAATTTTTCATTCAATAAAAATTTAAATTTATAATTTATAAACAATATTAAAAAAAAATTCAAAGAAACTCCATCAGCTCTTTAATTGACCCAACCAGCCAAGGGAAACCTTTTCCATTCCTAAAAAGAAACTATGAGAAAATTGCCTCTTTTTTATTTTATTTATTTATTTATATTTTTTTCAGACATTTTTTTAGCCAAAAGCAGTGCTGAAATAACTCTGAGCAACATTGTTACACAAGATCTGTAACACCTTATTGTTTGTCAGACCTACGCATCTTGGTGTCTTGAACTGACTGACGGCAGTTCCTACTCCTAGGTAATGTTCCATTATCTTCTGGAAAGTTCCTCTATGGACAACTCGGAGCTCCAGAGGCCCTATAGTCTTGACCTTGCGAGAACTGACATAGCCGGCATCCACAAAAGAACGATCCAAGCAGTTGCAGCATCCTTGCAATACTTCCTCGCTCGCCTGGCCACTAATTTCCCAGAAGATTACATAGTGACCAGGGTCGGTTGATACATCCACATGGCTTGTGAAATCAACGACTTCTAGCTTTTCTTCTGCTATTAACATGGCAGCTGCTTCGACTGCAAGCTGCAAGTCTTTCTCTGTGTTCTTGTCAATGTTTATGCTGAGCATGAGGTTTCCTCGGCACACAAATTTGAGTTCCGGTGTCGAGTTATGGAACCCTGTAACCTTGACCACATCTCCTAGCTTGTAGCGGTATAAACCTGCATTTTACAGGAGAAAAATGTTAAACAATTGCAAGGAAAACTCTGTTCTCGTGGAAGCATAGGTGTGTGAACCATATTGCTGCAATTCTTTCATCTAAAGAACAAGGAGACCAACAAACTTAAACCAAAATCCAGAATTGAAAATTCAGATCACAAACAAGAACTTCTAACTAAATATCTTTACATATCATATATTACATTTAAGTCAGATGGGGATGAGGGATGCCGATGTTGATCGTATTATGTTTTACATTATCCTGCACTTTCTTGCATCTAAGAAACAATCTAAGACGCAAAGCAGTTTGTCTTCTCTGAAGAGATTTTTGATAAAAAAGAATTGATCCTCTATACGTGTATATGATTATCACTTTAGGTTTTTTCTGTTCATATGGCACACCAGCCATCATGAACAGCTTATAGGACCAATCAAATTGCATTTTTCAAGACAACATAAAAAGGAGAACAACTGAAAAGAGAGCAGCAATAAATTAGAAACGATGTTCCACCAAAGAGAAGACGGTAAAAGAAGCCAAGCCAGCTATGCCTTGAGAGGACATCGCTGGGGGCCATAACAACATGCCAACACTCTCTTTGACTGACTTGCATAATTATTGCATCTACGGACAAAGATGCATTTGTCTTAACCAGGCTGGTCGGACATGTCCTGATCACGAATTAAAATTTAAAATCCAACATATCAAAACATATTTGATTAAAAGGACAAGGGGGGCATGGAAAGTAGCAACACTTTTAATGGGAAAGAAAGAACCCGTCCTCCCAATGTCATAGACCCACATGGTGTGCAGTTATTGGTTAGGTCAAAGAATCAACAGATTAAAAAATGGAGAGCTCCCAGGCATTGCGCTATGCAAATATGTTCAAGTGCATGTGAGTGAGAAATGTTGAAGTAATGCATGGAGATTGGAGCATGTGTTGGTAAACATAAAACTTTAAACAAATTCAAGGTATTGTAGCGCGCAAATGCAGGAATTAACTGGAATCTCTAGGCTCTAGCAAAAGAAAAGGAATCAATAATTATAAAATGAAATTATTACCTGCAAAATTGGTGATAACGATCTCGTACTCTTCATCAATCTTGACTTCAGTCAGACCAACTGGCTTTGGCTCTGTATAGAAGAAAGTTGACTCCTCTTTCTCTTGCTCCAAGGGGTCAACATTTCCCCTACGAGGAATGAATTCAAAGTATCCAATATGAGGAAGCACAGCATAAGTGGCCAGTTCAGGGGACAATTTTGGGTTCACATTTGCTGCAATCCACCCTTCAGAAGCACCATAATAAGCAGTTACAAGAGGCAGATACCCTGCGTAATGCCTTAGTTTTTTAATATAAGGCTCCATTGACCCAGTCATGATCCCATAGATGTACTTTGCATTGGGAAAAAGTTCAGGTATCAATCCATACCAATTGCTCAGTCCTGAACATTTTTTTTGGATCAAATCAGCCAATTCAGGATTTGGCTTCAGAAGTTTTGACATGGCATTTTGGAGGGATGGGGTAGTGATCCGGCTTGTAAGGATCCCATCTCGTATATCAGCACAGAGCTCCTCCCATACTTGTTCAAAGGTTCGGAATGCATAAACAATGCTGTAAGCAAAGGGTGCGGACACTGACTCAATCTCATCCGAGAAGAGTAGGCCACATAAAAGATGGCAATATAGTGACTGCTGGAAATCCGGACCAAATATCACTTCATCAGGGCTGCAGGATTGGGACTGCATTGCTCTCATTGCATTTTTGTACCGTGCATTGCGGAAGACATTTGTAGTTGCAGTTCCAGCTGCCAATCCCCCTTTTGTTAGGCTCTGCTTGCTGCTGTAGATGAAATTCAGGGCCTTTCCATTTGTAATAGGGAATTCTCTGCAAATCACCAATTCTTTTTTCACATCAACATCGAACAGCTTAACAAGAGGGAACAATTCAAAGAAAATTCAAAAATGGCGACATGTTCCTACTTCCTACTTTGACAGGTGAGAATTAATAGCTGGCTACGTTATTTATTCCACTGAAAGATATAAGAAATAAATGTTTCAACTAAAAATACTAAGTTATCAAATCAGTTTAGAAGAATACTAGGAGCAAATTAAAGAAAAACAACTGTGACTATGGAAAGTAAAAACAGTAAGCGTACGTGAATCAATTCAAGTTGATGTTTCAGAAGGATGAAAATATAGAAGCTTACTTGTTTCTAAAGGCATAGCAAGTACGGTATATCTGCAAAGTTGTGTCCATCAATTCATCATTGAAGGGAACATATTTGGGCTTCCCTTGGGTGGTACCAGAACTGCAGTAATGAGGAACTTATCAATTTAGCATAAAGCTCTAGAACTTGATTAGTTGATTTAAATCATCACATAATATACAGCATAAGGTAATGCAAATACCTCAAAGACATAGTAGTTATTGGCTTTCTAGTGAGAACCAATGAATTATCACCGTCCATAATTCGCTGAATATATGATTCCAGGTCCTTGTGAGTAACAAGCGGCACACAGGCCTTGAAGCTATCAGGATCGGTCCTTCCATTTAGACCAAAATTCTGTAAATACTCTGCAGACCCATTTTCTTCCAAAATCTTCTTCAGGGTCTCTCTCTGAACCCTCTCAGCGTTCTTGGTAATTTCTTCAAACTCCTCTATTACTTCATCCACATCCAGAATTTCCATCTTCTCTAACATCCTATCTTTCAGGGAAAAGTTAATAAGAGATACAATACAATACAATACAACGCAACACAACAACAGTGAATAATAGAACATTAAATGAACCGAACACATTTCAATTTAATTATGTCAGGGGATGTTAGTAAGAGATACATACTCTGAAAAAGCCAACTCCTTTGTGCTGGAAAGCTCATAAGCAGATTTTATATGGTTTTCTCAAAAAAAGCCAAAAATAGATACAGATAGTTAAGCTATAATCATTTCACACAGTTGTCCAAAGACTTTTAGTATATCTCCAGAAGAAAAAAAAAAAAGAAGTACAAAAATGTAAATAATGAAGCAATCAAGATTCAAGATAGTCTTTTGCTTCCTGAACCTTCTACAAGAGAATTCCGAAATCTTCCAAAAGTAAATACAAATTGGAGCTTCCATGCAAAAACAAAATAAACTGAGAAGACGAGAGTGAGGACTAAGAAAGTTGAAGATTCTGAAAAGGAAGTAGAAATGAAGGAGATTCGCTGGTTTCTTATGATCGAATATCATAAAGGCAGAGACGACCAAGAATCGAAACTAACTTGAAAGGTCAACTCAGTCGACAATTGAGAACTTTCAAGGAAAGTGATACTGGGACAGGGGAGAGTGAGAAGAACAGGAAATGAACTTGGAAAAAGAAAAAAGAACGCCGACAGACACCGATGAAATCCAAGTCGAAACAAAAGTAATTGAGTCCGTAACTCAAGAAACAAGAATTTTCAAACCAAATTTAGATGAGTTGAATGCGAAAAGAGAAAAATAAATGATTAGTTGAAAATCTTGCACAGAAGCAAGAAAACTGACAAAATAAAAACACGATTCATGAATACTAGCTCTGAAAAAAAGCAGAGTTATAGTCAATCAGGAAGACAAAAAGAATTCCAAAAATAAAAAACCGACACAACAAGTACTTTTTTTTTCCTTTTTCTCTAACGAGGAAGAAAACAATGAATCTCAAACTTTAAAATGAATTTCAGATTGAGTTAAATTTTTCTGAGAAAATGGACTGAATAAGAAAATTGAAGAGTACCTGACTGAACTCGGTAGTAGCAGCAGCTGCGAAGCTCGATACAGGGACGGTTACAATGAGGAAGTCCGTGAGAGTTGAGAATTTCGAAACTTAGAAAAAAAACAACAAAAACTCTTACGAGTGGTGTTACAATTTCCCCCACTTCAATGTCTCGTTTTCCGCAACTTTGAGAGTTTTTTTTTTTTATATTTTTACTTACTTTCTCTCTCTATAACAGAGATATATATAAAATAACGAAAGTGTTTTTTTGAGAGAGAAAGAGTAACTTGCTTATGTGCGATTTGGCTACGGCGTATTGGGTGTGATGGGAGAAGATTCTTTGGCACGGCATTATATAGGCGTCACTAAATGCCGTCCACCTTTGGCCATCTCCAAATTTTTTTCTGGATTTCCGATTCTGCCCTCGGTATCAAACAGAATTTGCGACGTTGCCGGGGGTGTGGAAATTGGTGATGTCTTTAAAGGACGGTTATGCCCTCGGATTCTAGGGAATATTACGGTTCTGGGTCGTTGTTGGGCTTGCCAAGGACGAAGCAAATTGCGGGCCCAGTAAAGGAAAGACAGATTCTGGTAAAATTGCGCTCGTGCCCCTTTAATTTTTATATTTACATTGCTGTCTTGTTTATAAAAAAAATGATACCTCAGTCTAGCTTTTTAAAAAACAATAAGGCACGCATGCTATAAAGAACTCAGCGTGAAAATGAAATCAATTATTATAGAAAAGATGTCAATCAATATAGTTAATAATTTCTCTTAGAATGCATATTATAAGGTTGCGAGATATACTTTGATTTATCAAAAAATAATAATAATAACAATTAAATCCTGCTTTCAAAATTTCCACCCAACTCAAGAAAAGAAGATATATCAAGCGTATTGTAATTGCAGTTAAAGACATAACCGTGACAATATCACACAGTCATTAAAAAAACAAAAAAAAGTTGAGTGGGTGTTAGTGTCTTGGAGAAGAGAACTAAGAAGAAATGAATGACAGGGGTATGCAATACATACCAGCAAAACTTGGATTAATTGAGCTCTACCATTCAGATATTGATGTAAAATGAGAGGAGAGAAGAGGTATTTATAATTAAAATTATCTAAAATAAACGGTTAAGATTAATAACCAATTTTGATCTTACGGTCATTCCTTTGTTTAAATTATTGGCAAGTTCTTGAACATCAATAATTAAAAAAATGACAAGTTCGTAATTGCAAAATAGACTTTTAGAAACCAAAACTCCAGCATTTACTAAATGTTAGGGAAACTTTTTCTCATAAAGTTTTCTAAGTTTTTCCTTTTATAAGATTTTTTTATGTATTTTCACATATTAATACTATAATAAAAAAAAGTAAAAGTGGCACTTTCAACATTTATTTTCTTTAACACAATTTTTAATCCATAAAATTTTCTTTTTTCACTTTTTAAATAGAAAAAGCTTTCCCTAACTTTCTTTATGTAGAACCCACTTAATGACTTTCCTATCAATTTTTTAATATCAATTTATTACTAAACATAAAAAAATTAACAATTTAACAAAATTTCAATAACACTTTACTACAAAACTTATCAACTTTATGTGCAATATTCAAATATGCCCCTAACAAAAAAGTAGGGACAAAGTATTCTTTTAAATTATCAATAAAATAAATTATTTATTATTTAATGTGATATTATTACATATCAAAAATCCATTTTTCATCTAAATATTTTTTAACAAAAAGTTAATACATGAATATCACATATTAAATAATTGATAATTTATCATTATCAATAATTTAAAAAGATAAATGTATTTTTTAGAGAGGTAAATTTGTCCCTACCTTTTATGGATTTAGGGATTTTGCCACCAATAAAAACTTTACAGATAAAAGTTAGCATTTTAACCAAATAGGGCTTGTAGATATTTTGACTTTTAATAGGGTACCTAATAAATGTTAATGAGTTGGCATTAATTTATATTGGTGTAAATATATATTACATTAATTTTTAGCCCTTCATTATAAATTTTAACGACAGCTTATTTTTCATGTGTCTTTAATATATAGGTTTAGAGTATATTTATTATATTTTTGTATTAATTTACATTAAAAAA